TCTACCTCAAAGAAGTGCAAAAATTTATTAGGTAGAAAGTAATAATGACTGAAATTCTAATAAGGATAGGATTAAATAAAATATATTAGTTGAAAAATAAAAGAATAAGTATTGAGGGACTGGCAAACTGTCGAACAGCTATGTCAACCTCAAAATAGAGTTAGGATAAGTATAAGAGGATGAGGGGTTAGAAGGTAAAATAATAAGAAGGATGATAGGAAGATAAAAGGGGAAAAGAGGGACCGGCAAACTTCAAAGCAGTCATGTCAGGCTCTTGGAAAGTTAAAAATAAAGAAGAGAGAGGAGGAAAAGGAAAAAAAATTTAAATTTATAATAATAAAATGAAGTAAAATAAATAATAGAAAGAGTTAAATAAAATAAAATAAATGAATAATAAAGGAGAGACTCCGGGGTAAACAAGGGAAAAAAAAAAAACAATCAAAGGAATTACTTCAATAACTATAATGTGCAATTTTCTCTTTAAAAATAATGAGAAGTAAAAAACATGTTTGTGAAAAAATGAAAACGTACAGTTGCTTCTTTGGTGAAAACAAATTATAATAAGCCAGATGGCTTGTTAACTGATATAGTAAAAACACTATATGAGTTTCACATAATTATTGATGTATAGTCGTTCTTAAAAACTTATCGAATCACTGAAATAGTTAAGATGAGATTGAAATATATCCGTTCTTAAAAAACTCAAGGAATTATTGACTCTGAGAATTTTCCTTTCAATAAAAGTTGAAAATGTTGGATAATACTTTAAAATAAAGTCCAAGATATTGGACAAAATACAAGATTAGAATTAAGTAAAGGAAAATGTCACATGTAAGCTCCCACAAAAAAAAAGGGGGGGTGGGGTGAAAGAAGGATAAGAACTTTCATAATAAAACTATTATAAGTAGTTTAATTTGAAATTTTACAAAAATGTAATAGAAAGAGAAATTTAATGGTAAGTTGTTAGTCGTTCTTTTGTCTTCGTTGACATTAATAATTGTAAGGAATACAACTTGTAATTTTTAAAAATTATTTTTTTGAAAGAGAATTTAAAATGATTGGTCGTTAATTGTTAGTAGATCTTTTTTGTCCGTTGAGGTATAACCCTTCTTCACAGTGCAGATCAAAGTAAAACCAGATATGAGATTTGTTGTCCATGTTGTTGAGAAGAAAGTCTAGCTGGCGGGTACGTTTTTCTGCCTTTTTGTCAGTGGTCCAGTGTTGTGACGTCATGATCCAGTGTGAAGTGAGCTGGGGTGAACAGCCATTGCCAATTAAAATTAAAAACAGTTTGAATGTGTTCTTGTCGCTGATTGGTTTTTTCCAAAAAATTAACTTAAATTCTTGTGGCAAAACAGAAAGTGGATAAAAAGCGTCGCCGTTGAATGAATTAAAAAGTTGAAGACGTTGTTGGATAATTGATGCACGGGAGAGGTTGCGGAGATGGTGATGGTAAAAGTGGAGTGTAGAGTGGTTGTTATCCATAGTTGAAAGTAGTCTGTAAAGATAACAATAGAGGAGGGGGTGGGGATAAGAGCATTAGGATGGTAATTCGTAATTAATAACTATTAATTAGCGTCATAAGTTATGACAAAAATTGTCTTATTTTCATTAAAGGAAAAAAGGAAGTAGGAGAGGAACAAGTAGCGTGTGAAGGAGAATGGGAATACCCGGGTATGGCAAGAAAAAGGATGCATCGACACCGAGGCTCCTGTAATGTTGTGAATCGTCAGGGGCAAAGCACAACTGAGCGAGGATGTTTCTAGCCCGGCGCCGAGCCTTTGCCCGACATCCTCTGTGTCGAGTCCTTGAGAAGAAAAAAGGAAGAGAGGAGAGAAATGGCCGGGAGGTAGTCGAGAAGAGAGAAAGAGAAAAGAAGAAGGAGAAAAAAAACAAAACAAAAAAAAAAACACACACACACAAACAAATAAACTTTGAGCAGAACAATATACTCTCTTTGTATGTAAATAGAGTTGGAAAACGATAAATAAAAAAATGAATTATAACGGTAAAGCGGAAAGCGTCAGTTGAGTAGTTTAAAGTAACAAATTAATTAAGCTAAAGTGACAATATCTTACCACGAAAACAAAGGGGTTTCTTCAAAATGCCGGTTGTGAAAAAAGGTCAGTCCTGGAAATAAGGAGGCCCAAAATTAAAAACAATTATAAGGGATGAGGAGAATTCCCGTAGAGAAATACTTACGTATGGAAAGAAATGGCTCCTCTAGGGTAAACGTAAGAAAAGAGTGAAAAATGCGGAGCAAAATTCTGTCGTAACAAAAAACATTTTTTGTCAAAACAAATTAAAATTGACGCCAGAATGACGCGAGCCAATGACGTACGAGAAAGGTGTCGCAATGATTGATGGGATAGCAGTCAAACTCTGGAAGGATATGAGCGGCCATGAGGGTTGAAATTGTGTTTATAAAGCGTAGAAATCTGTCTTCTCAAGGCCAGGTGTCGAAATATTTATGGAGTGGCAGTTATCGTAGTTTGCTGGGATGGATTTGTAGTAAGCAGGTTTTGTTCGGCGTTACATCGAAATCGGTGAGTCGGAACAACAATTTCAGTATGATCGATCGTTCTTCTTGTTAAGAAAACTGGAGCTAGTTCAGGAGCTGAGCGCTGGTTGAGCTAGCAATCTGGTCGTTGGAGGTAAGGAATCGAAGTTACGTATTCATAATATGACATATCGTTCTTTTTGTGATGACGATGAGTTTAGTCTGAAAGAGTTGTCTGTGTGCGAGTCGTGTTTTACAAGGATAAAGATGGTAAAATTTCGCTAGACTGCATGTAAGGAGAGGAGTTTCAAAACAAGGCAGTGTAAAACGGGGGAGACGTGATACGATGCCGCAGTGAAATAGGCAGTGACTGCTTTTAAGATTAAACCGTCTGGATAAATTTATTGATAAAGACCTAGTAAAGAATGAGAATTATAATGCTAAAAAAGCTTGTGGTAGGGAATAGTGAAAAACGATTAAAATGTTAGGGTATTTACATAAAAATGGTAGTCTAGCTTTTTGGTGTAAGTAAAATATCTAGTAGAATGAATTAAAATTTGATTACACACAAGTGTCAAGTAGAATGAATTAAAACTTGATTACATACAAGTGTCAAATCTAAAAATTATTAAAGCTTGAAGCTAGCATAATTCTATATTAAAGTAGTGCGAAAGTGTTCAATATGTCCATTGATGTTGCATAATGTCTAGGGTATAATAAGTTAAATTTGTAGTGCTAAAACTATCACCGCATTAAAATTGGAGAAACTATGTACATGGTGGTAGATAAAGAACCCATTGAAATGATTTAAATAACCAGCAAAGATTTGGCAAAAGGAAAATTAGCTGCTAGTAGATATATATTTTTTAAGTGGTAGAATTATTAAATAGGATTTATTTATGGTGTAACATTTTATTAGTAAGAAGGAGTGTGTGGATTTTAGTAGAGTTGCAGTATGCTTTTGAGAGTTTCGGTATGTGGGGGTTGTGGTATTTGAGTAGAATGCCGTTGACCAGTTTGTCTGTTCGTTTGTCTTTGTTGTATAGAGTCTTGTAGTAAACAGTGGGTCTGGTAACGTTATTAGTCTGTTTGTTTTTGAGGCGTCGCTGGTGAGCAGTGCGTGTGATCCATGGAAATGAATGTTCAGTGATCAGTTGTAAAGGATAGTCTAAGGCAGTAAGTCTAAGTGTGAAAAGGTGGTGAATGAAGTTGTAGTCGTCTATTGTAGCTGAAAGTCTACTGTATCGTATAGTTTCAGTTTTAATGATACCAGCAAAAATGTGATGGGAATGGTTAGATGAAAAATGAGGGTACATGTATTTATGGTGTGGTTCCTGGTAGATCTGGTGATGCACTCTGTGGGACTTGATGGTGAAGTGGTTGAGTGACAAAGTGAGATCTAGATAATGAGTGGTATGGTGATTTGATGTGAAAGTGAGAGGTATTTGAGGCGGGTAAGAGCTGCAGAGGTTAGAGATGATATTAGGTAAGTTAGCTTTGCTGGTTAGCATAAATCCATCATCTATATAACGGCAGAAAATAAAAATGCTATTAGTAGGGCAGTTAGTATTGTTAAAAAATGAAAATTCGCTTAGTAGGAGCACGAGGTCCGCAATTTGCCGGCTATGGCAGCTGCCCATAGCAACCCCTTTAATTTGCTGGTAAATGGTATTACCAGTCCTTAAATAGTTACGTTGGTTACTAAAATTATTGAGGTTAAGCAAATAATCCCTATAAAAATTAGGCAAATTAAGCAGATTTGTCGGCAAGATTTTTTAAAGTGAACTTATCGAACACAAAAAATTCGGCCTTATTTTTTACTTTCGCCTCTCTTTTAGACAAAGAAATGCAACCTATAAAATACGACGGGTAAATTGGCTGCCACCTAGGACTATCGTGTCTTACATCCGGTCTTTATAGCATAATCAATTAAATTTCGGTGCTGTTCATTAACCTTATAAAATAAAGTTGGTGTAGGTGGGCGACTGGGTTAATTTGTTTCGGAAGAATTTGTTTTCCAAGCCTAATCTGCTGTGATCAAGAGCAAATGTGGCTGTTGACTGTGATCGAAGATTATTGCTACTTTTTTGGTGTACGGATAGGGCTATTAATTCGATGCAAGATTTGTTTCACTCTTGGAATGTTTGCAAATTGCTTTTCTCTAAAATCACTTAACCCTTCTCTGAAAGGTCACATAAATGTGCCCAAAGGTTAACTGATTTGTGGATTACAAGGTTATTGTTTGATTTAAATTATATATTTTGTAATGGGAGCTTCGCTTTTAGCCTTGGGTAAATCTATATATATATATATATATATGCTCTACAGTTCTGCATTTTACGTTGATCGAGAAATGCTGAACGGATGACTTCTCGTGTGATAATTTTTTATTTTTTTTTTTCAGCAGAGAGGATACAATGTTGTGGTTCTCGACAGGAAAAGAAACGTCACTGATTTTAGAGCGTTTGATTTTCATGCTTATTCAAATGCTGATGACTAATTGAGTGATTTTTTAGCCGAATTTGCAGACAACGCTATCGTGTTGATCGCCGTAATGGATGAAGCTTGGTGGAGTGGTAACGCACCTGAAAGTGACAAACAGGCAGCTGACCAACAACTGAGAAGCTTGGGAGCCAAAAACCCCAGACCATCTGAATATCGTGCATCATGGTCCCTGGTTGGATATAAGGGATCACACGAGGGAGTCGATTGGGTTAGATTCGCAGAGGCGCCAAGAATGCAGGGGCCGACAGAGAAAGGTGTAAAGATTCCCACACCGTTACATACCTATGGTTGCACCTAAATGTGAACACTAATAAAAGAGTGTTGTCTTATTTTATTTACTATCATGCAGTTGCTTTAATAAATGTGGCAATACACAAAGTTTATATCTCCGCGTAGGTCGTCAAAGTTGATGTGGCCCCAGCCGTAAGAGTACTCATCCACTAAGCGAAGAAAGGCTTTCTGACCGACAAATTCACTTGCATCCCACGTCTGACGAGCCATGGTCTCCGTACATTTTCCAGTTGCTTTTCTCACCACCTGCAAAAAATAAACTAGAGTTGAAGCTATGTAAAAACAAAATCCTTCTCATACAAAAAACCACATCTGGAGCACGGTCTTAAACCCTGACGCTATCAGCTCCTGTTTAAGTATGAGACAAATGAAAGTTGGTTCCCTATTTAAGGACCAAACCTGGAAAATGACACCATATATTCAAGGGAAAAAATTAAGAATCTAATAGTAGCACATAAATATCCAATGAATCGCTTTCAGGATCCCCTTCCTAATACGCTGAGGGATAAGATGATGATTTTCCTCTAACTTGGCATTTACACACTTGAATCTTATCAGATACAATTTAGGTGCCCTACCTAAGGGTCACACCGGGAACACAACGCCAACAACGGAAAAAATGATACTCTTATAAAGGATCGAGACCCTTAGAAACCATACCCTGTCTGGTGGCACATAACTATTTAGCCCATATATGGGATCCCCGACCCTGCCCCACTCCCCCCCCCCCCTCCCCTCTTCACCGGAGAAGATAATCTCAATGGAGATTGAGTATGGTGTTTGACTGTACGAGGTTTGTGCGGACAAAGTAATCCGTGAATATAAATCCATCTTTAATGCACTTGTTCACCTGGTTGTTGGTAACCAACTCCGCTCGAACGAGATTAATGTCACACCCTCCCCCAATTAAAAAAGACATCTTGCCGCTGGCAACGATGGTGAAAGGTGGGGATGCGAGAGTTCCCTGTGGTCCGTCGTCTTGAAATAATCCCGCTGGGGAACTTGGACTGGGACGGTTTTCATAACTTCCAATCCACCAATCTCCCTGTTGGTTTGCAGGCTGCCCTTTGCCACGAGCTGTCGGGTTGTCCCCGTAGGTTGGCTGATTATTAAACGCAGTGCCACACTTAGTCCAGCCATCAAGACTTCCACTTTCAAAGTCAAAATGACAAGGAAAACAACCTAATGTACAAAAACAGACCTTCATGGGTAAATCTCAGGGCATTTTGCTCCGAAGTTTTTAAAGTGTAATTTATTTTAGCTTCTAGCAGGGTCGATTTCAAACAATGAAATGCAAGTGTCTCATAAGCCGAACACAACTTGGTACTACGCCCCCTTCCCGGAGGGGAGAAATGCACACCCTTTTTCAGTCATCAATAACAGCAACCCTTCACTGATATCACTTAAGTATTTCAAAACGAGGATCAAAAGTTATGGTAGAAGGATGATTGTCTCATCCATATGTAACAAGCAAATATCTACATGGAAAGTCCTTTCTGGGGTTTCGTTGGCACTCTCTGTTGACCTATTAGAAAGTGCTCCATATTAACTCCTCTAAAGCCACTAAGATACCTGTATCTTGGAAAGTTATTTACGAACCGTGACAACTCCAAGTTGCTTTGAGTTTCCACTTTAGTAATTCTTCCACGTGAACACCAATGGGTGACACTGCAATATAAAGAAAGAAAAGAGCAAGAAATTAATTTTTGATGCTAGTGTGATTTTTGAGTTCTTCGGTCGCTCTCCGGTTGTGGTGTTTATCGTCTACAAAGAAACATGTGAAAGATCCATTATTTCGAAAAACTTTGAGTTTCTTTTTTCTTTTATTTATTTTTCTCTTTTTGCCTCGTGGTCGTATTCTAGACCCGATTGACAAATATAAAATGGCTTTTTTAATAGACCAACCATGGCTCGCAATCAAATCTTGGCACTTTGGTGGGGACACAGAAATAGAATTATTTCCACGCTGTCTCGTAGACGGACTTAATTTTTTCTCGTCTATGGCTAAGGCTAGGGCAGATGATGTGCGCCATATTTTCTTTTGACTTTGATTTCGCGACATCCATACTATCTGAGTGCGGCGTAGGCTAGAACTAAATATTCCCTGGCTACCTGGTGCTCCATTTGTCCATCATCATTCAGTACATCAAAAAAACGACATTTTTCAAGATGGTGTTATAGAAACTATTGCTCTAATCCCTACAATTACACGGAAGGAAACGCGTGGAAACGCTGAATGGCATTCTCTTAATTAGAATTACTCCGATCCGGTATCAAAGTTTTTTACCTCCCCACTTGGTGCCGCTGGTTGAAGTTACTGTATGCTCAGTTGGTGGTGTCTTGTTGGTGTCATTGATAGTCAATTCACTTCCAATCATTACAGCGAGATTTGTGGTGCCTTTGACTTTAACGGCATCCCAGTCATTCACTGAGACAGTAATGAACTTTGACGAATGATCTTGAGTACTTTTCAAAACCGTTCTTCCGTTCGCAGTTACTGCATATAAAATGTTTTCGACCGTGTCATGGCCAAGAATAGAAATTATATTCCAATGCATAGCTGAAAAGGGACAAACATATAACTCAAACGAATCGCCTCATGCACGGAAATCCAAGCTAATCAAGGATTCCGGATACTAAGCTTTGGATTTCAGATTTCATAAACTGGATTCCGCTTCCCTAGTCAGAGGAACTTGAAATCGGGAGTACAATCTGTTGCAGAATTCCAGATTCCTTAAGCTGTATTCCTATTTACAGAACTCCGAAATCGGCGTCCTTGTGTCATAAATAAAATGCGATGAAATATCGTCAGGATAAAATATTGTGCCGTATTTGTAGTTGGTTTGACCCGTTGGACAGGTTTTCTATAGTTATCCCTGGGTTGATGAATTTCTTCCTTGTCTTCCTTTTTAATGACATTCCACCGCCACAAAACGGATCTAACCGGTCCCCACCATACTACTAACGAGACATTATACTACTAACGACCAATTACACGAACCAAACACGTATTCTTCATAAAATTTCTTGTTGGGATTGGTCAAGCTACTTGTCAATAGTTGATATCATGTGACGAACAATCTAACGCAGATTGTCATTGTAATAATAATTTAGAACAACTATGGATAATAAAAATCAGGGGGACTGAAAGTTATGTCGTGGCCATTTTACGCGCTGAGACAAAAGTCAACATTTAAAACCCATCGAGAATCTATATCTTCTTGCAGCGATTTGTCTGAGCTTCAACGAATGTCAAAGATGATTCTTTTACCACAGATAATTCTAACTTTGTTAAAAAAATATATTTTCATAATAGTATCCCAATGATAAAAACAATTCTACGATTAAAATAATAATAATAATTCGAAAAAGAAACTCAGTAATTAAGAAATGCAGAAGATGGAGACAAACCTGTCCACGAAGCACCCATGTCCTTGCTAAAAAAACAGTTGGGCGAATGCTCTAAATGCTCCTTGCTGAAACATTGACGTGAAACGTACTTATAGTTAATGTAAAGTACCAAATTTAACCTCCAAGATGTGCGAATTTCAGCTACCCCCTTCGAGTCCCATACTCCCACATTTGAATTGGACGTCTGAATCAACTAGCCGCTGTGTGTATTGCTTTCCGTTAATTTGACTTCCTCTTTGTCTTTTTCTATTTACATGAACTGCAAGAGCAGTAGAAAATTTCCACCCTTTCAACTGCTTTCTATGCTAGACTGGCACTGACAACAGAATTCAGAAGTTGCATGAACTAGCTTGTCGTTACTCCTCTCGTCGGTGGCAGACAAATTCTTGAACACGAAGACCCAAGTGTACTTAAGTTAACGGTGGCCTATTACTTTGCCAAGGATAAATAACAATTATTCACCGAAGTGGAGGTGGCTAGTGGTAGTTATTTACCGAGGCTGCGAAGCAGCAAGGTAAATATCCACCACCACTAGCCACCGACACTGAGGTGAATAATTGTTTTAGAATATACTAAAACAGTTAAATTATTGAGCACAAAAATGATGATTTTTAACTCATTTACTGTTGCTAACTATTACAATTTTGGCGCGTAATGACCGAATGGCCGCGGTCGTCGCTTTTTCTTGCCGACAAATAAAAATTTTGAAGGCATTTGTTTAGCACTTGCGGGGAAATTTCTTCAAAAGGAGTTGTGAATTCTTTTTGTATTTAAAATCATTCTGTAAACAAGATTATTAAATTTAGTTTTAAGCTTATTTATGAACAAGTCAACTAAATAAACTAACGCAAGACTTATAATAATAAGCTTAATGAGCATTTGTAAACAAAAAGCTTTTTCACCGGTTTTAGCGACAAATTCAAGTCAAAAGACGAAGCTTTAACTGTTAAAAATTCCAAACCGAACTTCGTCACCTTCTTCGTGTATTTCAGGAACAGCTTGCTTGATTGGTTGTGAAATTTCTTTGTTTGTTACAGCGGCAAAGCGGGAAGGCATTTTGCTCCGAAGTTGCGCGAGTTTGGCGTCGCTCGCTACGAGGAACTGGAGATGAATCAGTGAATAGCGCAGAATATTCACTGATTGAGTACCCAATCAGAGCGTGCGAAAAACACTATCCACTGTTTTAGTATATACTAATTAAATCTATTTTAACTGGTTTATTTCTTCGTTCGACTGCCCGAGTTTACTAAATTCTGCACTAGCCATGTGGTAATGGGAAAGTTGAATATAGCGTGGAAGACATGAAATATATTTTTTCAAAGAGTAAAATAAAGAATTGACCTCTTTCAATCAGGCTTATTCAGTATGCTTCGTAGCATTTTGAGCTTCCAAAATCTTAAACTAGCCTTCTGAATAGCGCATTAGTGGCGTTTAAATGTTCACACAGTTCAATTCTACACTGGTGAGAAAATGACGTCAGTTTCACGCTCGGGCCAACTCGTTCTCTCACTCAGGTGGTCAGAATTTAGTAATGGCGGATAGCTAATGTAATAGGCCATTTCCGAGTTTTCCCAAGACCCAGTTTCAAAGCAAGGCTAAGTGCGAAGCCACTGATATGAAAATGACCTTTTTTGTCTGATCATGCAGATAAAACTCATTTTCTCATTTTTTGAAAGTGAAATCTTTTGGAACTCGGAAATGGCCTATTAGACTTCTCCCTGAAATAAAGGTAGATGTGGTTAATGTCTGCAAAATTTCCGTTATAAATCGCAAAAAAGGAAGTTAGTTTGTAGAAGGAATTTAAAGGCTGATTCATACGCTCGGGTTTATGATTTTATGGAGTTCCTTCCATCCGTGATGACAGATTTTCCTTAAATGGTCCCAGTCAAAAATTGATGGGGTCTTTGATCGGTATTTAAAGTACAAGGACGCCTCGTCTGTATATCAACGGCCTCTTAAGTTTTCACCAAATCATTTTCAAACTTGGTATCTTCACTGATTTTAGGGAGTTCCTTCCAGCCGTGATAAAAGATTTTCGTTAGGTAGTCCCAGTCAAAAATTTAAAAAACAGTGGAGGGGGTGTGGAGTTGGGGTGGGTAGGTCTATTAACGGTATTAATGGAGGCTTCTTCTGGTTTGTTCTTGCTTGCGAACTTTTTATCTCTAAAAACTAAATAGCAGAAGAAAGAAGCTACAAGCTTTCTGTTTATAGTGGATGGAAGATCTCACCATTTCACGTTACAAATGTACATGATGTCCCTTGTTTTGTCCAAGTAATATCCGCGACTTGTAAACTTCAAGGAACCTTCGCAAGTAGTAAAAAAAATTGTCATTGTGAGATCTTCATAAGTTGAGGAAAACTTCTGAAATGCTGATTGGAGAATAATTGAAGGAAAAAATTAAGACCAGCTAAAAAAAAAAATACAAATAAAAAGCTCAAGTTTAAGAAATCCAAGGACGTTTGAGGTTTGCGGGGGGTGCACAAAAAGAGGATTCTAACCATAAAAAGAAAAAATTAACTGTAAAGGGACTTTATGAACGTTTATGAGTACTTCTTAACTTTTGAAGCAGTTGTTGTAGGTGTGGAGGTTCATGCTTTTCTAAGAGAGTTGTCAGTTTGTATATAACGCAAACAACCAAAACACCGAATTATTATGTACGTACATCGTACATATATGAACTATAACTTCATTAATCACAAATTCCACATTCAATACAAAGTGCACTTCAAATTATGTGTTTACCAATACGATATGTCACTTGTTCGCTGAAATATAATATTGCTAGATGCTGCAATACAGGTAGGTACTGTTACTCTAGCAAAACTTGGGTTGCTTTCCATTTTACCTGGTATAGCAGGCTGACCCAGTCTGCATCCATAAAACTCAACTTTCAGGGCAATGCTGTTTTGCCAGGAGGTCGGATTAATGCGAACAAACACAGCTTCAATTTGTGTGGGAAGAATAATCACGACCGCACAATCGCAATTATTGTTAGCCGGTAGATCCTTCAAAAAACACACAGTAGTATGATAATGATTAGAAATAGCACAGTAACAACTTTAATTCTAGTTGTATGCAAATTAACTTTTACTGGGCGAAACTGAGTAAGCTATGAAGAATTAAGTAGCTACAAGTAGAAGAGGAAGTTTTTGGCCAAGGGGCGAGCTACTTTTGGTTTGCTACCACGTGACAAGGCGGCCATGTTGGAGGTCAATAAAGAATAATTTTTCCTCCAAGAATTGACTAGAAAATATAGTTTAGTTCGCAGAGGAGAGAAATGATTTTATTCTTAACCACCAACATGGCCGCCGTAACGTCACGTGCAGCCAGAAATTGGGGGATTACAAACATCGAGATTTGCATAATTTTCCATAACTTATGAAATCTGAATTTTAAACTGTATTCTGATTTTTTGGATACTTTTTCGTTTACGTATTCTTCAAAAAGCAGTTTATATTCTTCGAGAGACATATATATGTATTTAGTAAAATCCAACTAGTGGTCTATTATCAATGCTGCGTTCTGATTGGTTGAGCTACTACTAGGCTATATGTTATAGCCTACTAGTAGCGAAAAGCGCGGGCTTTGAAAACCAAAACAATGGCGGCTGAATCGGGTTTTGCTAGCGAAAGTTGTTTTGTCGTGATATTTTTGACCAACTAGTTGGATTTTACTAATGGGCTATTGACTCAGAGCCCATTCGGGCTCGGGGAATAATTGTTAATTATGCTATCTTTTTAGTCAGTCGCACTGCACCGAATTGATAATGATTTATTGGCTATAACTTCGGCACAGATGAAGAACTAATCGTCCTTAACATTTTAAAGAATAAATATTTTGTTAATAAGTCACGTAATATGTCACGTGACCATTGTTCTATTCTAAAAAATCTTAAATAATTGGTGGCGGGTTTAAGAAAAGAAATCTTTTGACTAGCAATAACATGTTTCTCATTTATATTGGGTATTTCTAGCACTTTACTCTTGGAATAACTGTCCATTCCACTTTAATAAGAAATTAAGAGAGAAAAAATCATTTTGAATTATTTAAAACTTTAATTTTGAACTTTTCGTAAATTAATTCCAAACTTAGAAAGTAAGGTATGTTTACCTTCTATCAGAAACACCAATATATTTACCATAAAATTCGCCACCAATTCGCCAACTTCCTTCATTTTCAATTTATGGTCAGGTGAAATGTCACGTGACCATAACTAAACGTTAAGGCACAAGAAGACTTCAAGATTTACTTTTGGGGAAAAATTCATTTAGTTCTAGGTATCCCTTATTGCAAAGCAATCATATGCTCAGAACATTAAACCTTTGACCCAGGCCTTAAACCCCGTGAGGTCACGGCATTAAAAGACGCTTTAGAAAACCTCAAGAAGGATTCTATCACGTATTTTGTGGAAAAAGTTTTGAAAATTATGAACTTAAGCCAAAATTTAACCTATAAACTTTGTTGTGCGTGGCGTTGTGGATCAATACGATAAACATGTCAAAATCTCCACGATATTACCCATGATATTAATAGGTGACAAGAGAACATAAAGGTCCTTTTATTAGGAAATACTTTCACGTGCACTTTGTACAAAAATTGTTAATTATTCCTATTTGATTCGTCACAATTTGATTACACATAGCAGTATTATGTACTAAGAAAGCATGTCAAGGTTATACTGAGCTTGATATCAGCCTAAGGTCACTTTTTGTACCTTGTTCACGCTTCCTTGCATGTAACGTTTAAAAATAGCTCCACCATGGCTGTAACACAGAGATATCGATTTGACACAACTTCTCCCAAGACCTTTTGTAACGAGGCGGACAATTTTGACTGTGGTGATGAAATTAACCTCTAGGTACTGTTGTTTATCTTTCCTGAAATGAGAAGAAAAAAAGGAAAAGAGAAGAAACAAAAAACAAGAAAGAAATTCAAATGAAGTTTAATTCAAGTACCAACCATCCATTAACGTGTTCGAGACGTCAACAACAGAAAGAAATTAGATGCTGCTCGAGTAAGCAGTAACCAAATTATATAGAAATAAAACAACAACAGAATTAGTGATGAAATCTGTAAAAAAAAAAATAAATAAATAAAAGAATGGATTCATGGTGGTAGAGAGGAAAAGAGAAGAGTTTGTTGACCGAACTGGGGACACGACAGGTATCGAGAATGGCTCTTGAACTATTTTGAAGCTTTGGAAAATTGGTATAAATTACGACTTACACAAGTAAGTTCCAAGGTATCCAAGCACTTGAGCTATTGAGTCTGCCCTGGTTAGGCTCCCCGCCGGTGGCATGGGACGAGGCGGTTATCTGGGCATTAGTAATTCTACCATCCATCATGCCTAGCGGCAGGTCACAGGGTAATTCTACAAATGGAAGAGAGGAAATTTTGTAAGGTCCTCTACTTGTACCCTGCCGAGAAAACTCGACCTTTAAAAGAACTTGTGTCTTCTAACTTACGTGGAACATAATATGTGACAGAAGTCGTCGTTGGCCCGTCAAAGGTGAATTCACGAGAACCAGAAAATGAGCTGCATGTGTCCAGGGAGCCGTTATACTTGACAATAACGTACGTTGTTAAATCATGGAATTTGCCGTCGGCGTGTATTTTGTGTAAATCAAGGTTAAATGTTACTTCAAGGTCGATGGTATCCGAAAAGTTGAATTGTCCAAACTGGAGAAGCAACAGAGGAAGCGTGGTGAGGCCAAAATCCAGCATCCTCTCCGCGATAAATACAGTGTTAAGATCAAAAACCTTTCATTCATAATTCTCCTCTCTTACCTTGATAGTGACCCTGTCTGTTTCATTGACCACTTCCACATTAACAGACGCATCAACTTTGTTCCAGGTTTTTAGTCGAAGAACAGGAGGTAAAGGCCATTCGATTATCCCGCTTGCTACTTTTTCTGTGGTCAAGTCCGAATGAGATAGGATAAGGCGATAAATAACTTCACCCCTATATTTCGAAGAAAGCAAAAATACATTACAAAAAAAAAAACAACAAAAAGATTAGTGTAGATTCAGCTATCCAGTAAATTTAAACTACGAGCAAAACTTTAAACTCTATTCAGATAACGTTGAAAACTAATAAAAACCCGTACACATACTTGTCAATCGTATCGCTCATACATCCACTATGAGACCAAAATGAAATCATCAAATCAGGCCTGCTGACCGCTGATTGGATGGTTTTGAGTGCTAACTGTGCTGCCCAGACAGACTGGTTTATGTACTGAACCCCTACACTAACCCACTGCACACCGCCGTTAATAATATGTACGTGACTCAACAACTGCACTTCGAAATCGATCTTAATCTGAGTGCTACTGTCAGTTGGGATTCTCGTAACATCACCAAGGTCAATCAGTGCAATATCTTTTAAACCTTCGCTAGCTGAGGAAATCAATGTTGTTGTGTTGATGCTCGCTTTAAGGTATTCGCTCACTAAGGCGAATTTAACTTGTGTCAGTCGTAGTTTAGCCGTGCCATTAGGTGGAAGTTTGATCTTGGCTTGTAGTGGTGTCGACTCGGGAATGTCCATAGTCAAACTGAACGAAACCTTTCGACCTATGAACTGCCACATGGAGGATCGTTGAATACCGAACTTGAATTCAGAGGCCTATGAAGAGAGCAAGTCATCATATTTTTAAGGCAATTCTCTTGAAAAAAATGTACTATCCAGATTATTTTTTAATTGGCCCCACTGACGACCATAAATACAACATTGAAAAAAGCAATAGAAAGATGAGGTTACCCTACACGTGCTTGTTTGAGCCCTGTGTACCTGTATTTCTTAGGGTTTTTTTGGAGTTGGGTGAAATATATTCGAAAATTGAACTACACTTATCATATAGGACAAACTATGAATCTTACCAAAACGTTAGCTGCGCAAATTATGCCTTTCCAGATTCTGCTTGACAACGTTTTGGCAACTTTTAGGATTTTGAGCAACTTTTTTGTCAGAGAGCAACTTCTAGCAACTTTTCGGAAAACTAGCACTTTTTTGGTAACTTTTGCGCTATTTTGAACCAAAATGCTGAATAACCCCTTTTTTTAAAATAAACAAGTTAAATTTATCTTGGTTAAAATTCTAAACATCTTTTTAGTAAAACTCATATTTTTACCCTTTGAATGGGTATCATGTGGACGTGGTAATTAATTACAAGAATTGGGTTTGGGTAGCCTCAACCAAGTTCCAAGGACTTTTCCCTTCTCGTGGGGGGCGCTCCCCATGAGAAGGGAAAAGCGCTGGGAACGAGGTTGGGGTAGCCTGTGGACTGTGTGTAAACAAAATGACGGACGCCACGTTGTCTTCCGAAGACGAAGAAATCGAAAACCCCATTGAAACTGCAGTTAGCAGGGGAGCTTCGCTTGTGGAGCGTGAAAAGGCTTCGATTTCCCGAAAGCGGAAAGTAATTGTGACTAGCCACTTAGATTCAACTAAAGGTTGCCTAATTTGTGGTAACTAGATACTTAGTTGTACCTTAATGTTGATTACAAAGCAATTGTTATTAAAATTAGACATGCTGTCTTAAAAATACTCGAGCAACTTTACAAAATTTTTGAGCAGCTTTTTCAATTTCGAGCAACTTTTGAGCAACTTTTTGGCTTTTTCGGAGCAGAATCTGGAAAGGCCTAGCGCAAGTCTAAAGTAAACTTTTTGCCACCTGTTTAAGAAATTCACCAGTGTCTGAAATTTCTCCGGTGAATTAAGGAACGGGGCACTGCAAATTTGGAGGGGGGTGGTCTGTTTTAGTGGGGATTTTACCTTTCGCATTCATATTTTAAATTCAATATCTACTCTCCATAAGCATTCATTTTTCATTTTTACTAACTAATGTATTATCTGTGTCAAGTGACTTGTCACACCCATTTTTGACTTTTTATTTCAATCCAAATTTACACCACTTTATAAATAACACTTGTAATTTTATTCACTTTTTGTCAATGACTATTGACACAAAGTTTATGGAATTAATCGGGGTTTTCTTAAATTATCTACGTTTTGTAAACTATAACGTTTCTTGTTAAGAGGGAGACTGGGAAGCGAGAAAAATATCTAATAATTACGAAGGAATGGATCATTTCACAAATCCCCGATTAATTTAGCTTATTTGACTGTAAATGAAATATTATGGAAGGAAAAACGATTGTGGTCACATTCAGTAAACTGGTGTAATCTGCAAAGTCCAAATTTTGCATAATTATGGGCGTGACTGGTCACGTGATCTAAAAAAAGGGAGTGTTTAAGGTCCAAAGTGGTTCTGGTCTTAACCACAACGGTCTTAGGAAGATACTGGAAAAAACAAGATCAAGTCATAAAACCCCGCATGTAACGAGGACCCATTCCTTAATTCACCGGAGTTGGCAAAGCCTTCCTAGCCCGTATTGGATTGATCAGCCACAGCAAGACACACCGCATTAACCCCCCTCCCTGTGATGTTCTTGGTCAACGTCGACAACGACGGAACAAATTATGGCTACCGCATTTCCTTAAATAATAGCCAGGGACGATTTTTTTTTTCGCACAAAAAGGGTGCGATTATTCGAGGGATAGCGAATACCTGATTATATTTGATAAGGTTTTAATTCCGAACGCACCCATGAAGGCCCTTCCTTAAAGTTTCCTTAATTTTAGTGTACAAAAGGATAAAAAGGGGTACTAATTCTCATGAAAAGCTTGTTTAGTGAGCGCAAAGCATTGATGTTCAAATTTGCAATTTGAAATTGTTGCTGTTTAACAAGAGCTGATAAATAATTTTCAAGTTGATACTTAAGCCACCTCTTGACTGGTATTAATTTTGTGCAGCAACAATCATGCAATCCGCTTTTCCTAGTGAGCGCAAAGCATTGATGTTCAAATTTGCGATTTGAAAAATTGTTGCTGTTTAGTAAGAGCTGATAAAAAATTTACAACAACAACATCTTTATTTCTTACATTAAATATACAAATATCACACCACCTGCAAATAGCAAGGCTAATCGAGGCAGGTGGTGTGTAGACGGCTTAAGATTTATTACGAATAGTTGAAGTGAAAAAGTACCATATTTATAATAAAAAAGGATTTACAAGTTGATATTAAGGGATTTACAAGTTGATATTTAAGCCATCTTTTGGCTGTTAATATTTGTCCAGCGACAATCATGTGATCTGCTTTTTCTCTTAAACGTACGCGGGACCCAAAACACCCCGGGTCAGCTGTCATCAAAAAGTGGTCTCTTTCAAAGTAGTTTTTTAATTTTTAACCGTTTGAGCTGAGACTTTGCACGATAATAGAACTTTGCATTCCCAACAATCGTATGTTTTTGGATTTTTTATTTTAACGGTTTTTGGCGCGAAAATGAGGTCATAAGATTGACAGCAAAAAATAGTTTTCGACTTATGGCGTAAAAAACTGGAACTTTTAAAAGAACTTACAGAGATGAGCTCAAATGTGAAAAAAGTATTTGTAAAGCTTAATTGGTTGAAAAGTTATTGAGCTGTGAATTTCGTATTTTCCGCCATTTTGTTACTATTTTTAGAAATTTGATGATCTTTAGAATGTCATATCTTCTTAACCAAATGAGGTTTTCAAAAAAATTTTTCACATTCAAGTTCTTCTCTGAGTACTCTTTCAAACTTGCTCACCTGTTATGGCATAAGTTAAAACTTATATTTTGCTGCCAATCTTATGACGTCATTTTCGCGCCAAAAACCGTTAAAATCAAAAATCCAAAAACATACGATTGTTGGGAAAACAAAGTTCTATTATCGGGCAAAGTCTCAGCTCAAACCGTTAAAAATTGAAAAACTAGTTTGAAAGAGATCACTTTTTGATGACAGCTGACCCGGCGTGAAATATTTAAGAAATTTTCAGATGTCTAAAGAAGGTAGTTTAAGTACAAGAAGGGTAAAGTGGCGGCAATCTAAGACGAAGAAAAAGAAAAATAACGACCGTTTTTTACTGAAGAATTTGCGAGCCAATTCGTACTTTAAAATTATTTTAAAAGCAAGGCGAAAACTAGTAAACTGCAATACATTATTTCGGAAATCAAACCAGGCCAAATTTTGCTAGGAAGGTTCGTGTTTTAGAATTTGGCGCGATAAAAATATTTTAGATCCCTTATTGAGACCGAGCATTAAGGTAAACGAAATAAATAATTAACGATTTACGAGTGGTTGTCAGAGAAAACCGGGCAAAATGTTAAAAATGTCAACGGAAGGGGGTCAACAGAATAAGTTCATACTAACATCATAGATAGGTCTGGTGGAGTAATAGACAAATATACCAAACATAGGTTCTTCACTGCTCTTGTATTAGAGATACGAGCATCACTTTTTTCGACCTCCTCGGACGCCATTTCTATAAGCAAATTTTCACCATTTTCTGAAACTCACAGAACCCTCCAAATTTAACGAGCGAAGTTTATTTTTTGTATGCGATACAACACATCACAGAACTACTTTCTAAAACCATAAGATTTGTTAAGTATCCACGGACAAGACTAAAATTTTCTTATTTTATCTGACCTAAACTCAGTGTCTCCAAACAAGCAAAAAATCGGGCATTTTTGAATTGATCTACAGCGCACAACTAAAGCGACAGAACAACTCTGACAGCCAAATTGCAGTCTACTATCATCCATGTAACCAAAACACTAATAATCATTTTGGGCCATTGAAACAGGAAGAAATTAGAAAACTCACATTTGTAATAGTTTCCAAGCTTTTTCTTGTAAACAGGCCGATCCCTTCGTGTTTGTTTTTAGTCCTCTCCGTGAATTTTCTTTCACATTTCGCTGTAAAGTATGTTCAGCAGCTGGAGAACATATCAAAAAGCTCGAAATACTGCCTAGGTTACATTTTCAAAGGGCAAAAAGTGCTGAACGATAGGATGAAACTAGAAAATAACAAAGTGACGCCATCTTGAAAATTCAGCACTCAGGAGGGACTGGCACTAATAGCTGAGTTCGAGATCTAACATAAGGAAAAAAATTGCAAATTTTTCACGACTCAATTGTCTCGTAATTCGCAAAAGAGACTTGAGCACATAGAAAACCAAAGCTAATACAGAAATGTAACCAGAAAGCCTCGGATTCATGCAAGAAGTTCCTTATCGAACGTTGGCTATTACGAACTACTACCAGGAGCCTATGGGCTCCTGTAATTATCAGTAAGATAAAAAACAAAAAAACAAACAAACCAGCTTATCAGCGACCTACTCCAGTCTTATTTCTTCTTCAGTTACTTCTTTTAGTTGAATTTAGCTTGTTTTTCTTTCAAAGGAAAAAAACAAGAAGAACGCTTGATCGCAGGTTAATTGCTTCATTCCCTTCTCATTTCGAGGTGTCCCCTGAATGTAGATAATATTAAAGATGTATTTTGTCTCTTTATGAATCACTTAACTTCGCTCTCATGGGAGCTAGCTAGACTTGCTATATATCAACCTCGCAAGTTTGTAAGCGTGCGGGCTAACTACGGGCAGTAGATATTGCTTGCTGTAAAATTTGCAATAATTTTTATCACCTAAAATAAACAGTTGAATCAGCGTGCGGAGCGGG